ACCTTATAAGATAAACGACACTTTAGAGTCCATATGTAAGCTCTACATTGGGGAAATCATTCGACTACACACAATTCCGGTATCCATTGTATTGTTTTTGGGGAAGTGTGCAAGAAGTTTTGGGTACCAAGTTATGTTTTAGCACCGCTTTTCATCCACAGACAGATGGATTATCTAGGTGCACTATCCAAACACTTGAAGATATGTTGAGAGCTTGTGTAATGGATTTTCAAAGAAGTTGGGAGCGACACCTACTTTTAATCGAATTCTCCTATAACAACAGTTTTCAAGCCAGCATTGGCATGTCATCTTTTGAAGCATTGTATGAGTGACCTTGTAGATTGCCGATTTGTTGGACTGAAGTAGGTGAAGCAAACCTAATAGGACCCAAACTTGTCCTAGAGACTACTGAGAAAGTCAAACTGATCCAAAAATGGTTAAAGATTGCCGAAGACCATCAAAAAAATTACGTAGATAGGAGAAGAAGACCACTAATGTTTGAAGTAGGTGACCACGTGTTCCTAAAAGTGCTACCTAGGCGTGGGATCGTACATTTTGGAAGGAAAGAGAAGCTATCACCACGGTATATGGGACCATTCAAAATACTGGAGAAGGTGGACAAAGTGGCATATCGACTAGCTTTACCATCGCAGTTAGCAGGGATACGCAATGTCTTTCATGTATCTGTATTGCAGAAATACCTCACCGATCCATCGCACGTCATCAACTGGGAAGGAATCAGTCTCGACAAGGATGTTACCTTTGAAGAAGGACCTGTAGCAATACAAGATAGTCGAGAGAAGAATCTTAGGGACAAGACGGTCTATTTAGTAAAAGTGATTTGGAGTCAATAAGGGATTAAAGAGTCTACATGGGAATGCAAAGATTGGATGAAGGCAAACTACCCCTAACGGTTTGAAAGCGATGTATAGTTAAATTTTGAGGATGAAATTGGTTTAAGGGGGATAGACTGTGAGGCCCCTGAATTTTTTTCCCTAAAAAGTCCCTTACTTTTGGAATATTGTAATGAAGATCCATGATTTCTTAAATAATTTCAACTTTAACCCTAGAAGTGAAAACTCGCAAACCCTAATCAATTTCGGTAACTTAGGAATCATTTATAATACTAATACAGATTAATTGACTCCTTACATATGGAATTACCACTTAAAACCCTAGTTTTTTTTTTTTTTTGATTTTCATCATGTTAGTCGGTTGATAACCTTTTTATTCGAAACGAGAAATCTAAAATGAATTAGATTCTCCAACCCTAATTTAGTTTAATTCCACATTTAAATAAATGTTCTAATTCATAAATTAAACCTAAAGCCCTCATATTTTTATTAAATTACTAATTGACCTCAGATTAGTACTATTATATATATATACTTGTACCTTTAAACCTATTTTATACACTATATTTTGAAATTTCCATAAATTGTACACAAGAAAAAAAAAATAATAAAAGAATCCCCTCAAATCTACCCCACATGGCTGGCCACCCTAGGGAAAATAAATGCATAGAACGTTTTCAAACATAATCCATGAATTCATGGAAAAGTTTGCTAGTACACCCAAAACAAGGAACTTTGTTTCCACTTCTAGTTCCATCCTAAATAAAGCCTAACTAGATCATGATTAATTGCATAATTAAGGCCTCTAATCATCCACTATTCCATTAAGTTCAAAGTAAATCCAAAATATCCAATCCACTTATAGCGATTCCGGTATCCCTTTACTGTTTTGTTGCATTCCGGACTCGGTTCTGTGGAGTTGGTAGTTGTATCTATCTTGTTGTCGTCCTTTAATTCCATTTGTTTGAGTTTTAGGATGTGTTGGGCATGTTTCGAACAGGTGGGTTGAACATTGGTCTGAAATCTTGTTGCCAGGTTTTTGGTCGTTCCGCTCGAGCGGGACTTGTTGCGCTCGAGCGGAGATTGCACACTCCCAGTTTTTCGTGTCCCTGCAAAACTTCTGCAGGTATGATTTTTACGCTCGAGCGGGTACCCTGGCGCTCGAGTGGGTAGCACTTTTTGGTGTAAGTTCTGGGAGGAGGAAATCTACGCTCGAGTGGATTGGTTTTCGCGCTCGAGCGGATGTACTTTATTCTTGTGTCTTGGCGCTCGAGCGGACCTTCTTGAGCTCGAGCGTACCTAGTTTTTTGTTCTTGACGCTCGAGCGTTGTGTTCTCCGCTCGAGCAGGAATGTCTCATATTTGGTTTACATCTTCTATGCCAAAATGTTCAATCACTTTTTCGGGCCATTCTCTCTCTAGCTTTCCAAAACCATATTTTGAGAGCTCCTCTCTCTAGAAACTCCCTTCTCTCTAGGGTTTGATCTAGTTAGAGTGTCTCACTATCCTCCGGCCTTTGTAAAAGGTGTGTGGATCATCGAGGGCTCCATTTTGATCCGTGGATCTTTGAGTTTGGAGCATTTTGGTTTTCTTCAACTTCCCCGTTTGAGCTCTAACTTCGAGATAGGGATATCCTACTCATTCTCATGAGTTTTGTCTTTGAGTTTTAGTATTTTGATGAGTTGGGGGTTGTTGGGTAATTTTGAGAAAGTTTGGGCCTTTGTGTAATTTTACAAAAGTTGGGGTTTTGTTTATATAAACTTATATGCATGTTTGGCATAGAGAAATGAGATCAATATTGGTTTATTGGTAAAAATGAAACCTTAGGGTTGTGATGTTAATTATGGAAAATACCCTAATTACATTGATAAATTAATTGGGATAATTAATTTGAAGGAAAGAAGAATTAAATTGAGAATGTTGGAATTGGATGTGTATAGGATTAAAGGGTGTAGTTTGATTCGTTTATCGCTCACCTAGTTGAAATGTTGATTATATATCCATTTGGTGCATTTATTTTCAGTATAGAAATAACTGCTTTGGGCTATCAGTGGAGGATAGTCTTGATTGTTGTAGACACTGCATGATGATTAGGCAAACTAAAACTAATCAATTGAGTATGCTATTGAATATAGCAACTGGAATAATACATTAATTCTATGTATTGATTGATTGTATATGATCTACGTTTATATACATGTTTTGTGTGGGAGGAGATAGGGGATGTACTCCACGGTTTAGGAGAAGATAGGGGATGGACCTCTAAACCGGATTTGTGTGACATTGATACAGCACTACAATGTGTATCAAGTGTTGATTATGGAAGTGTTTGAATTGATTTGATATAGCACTAAAATGTATATCGTTATCAATTGTAAAGTATAGAAGTGATTCTATGTTATGTTGATACAGCACCGAAATGTGTATCTTTCGCAAAATGTGGGAATGGTTTAAGTGTTATTGATACAGCATTAAAATGTATATCCCTCATGAATTTTGAAAGTGTTTTAAAGATGAGTCTAAATCTCATTAAGTTATTTGGCTAGGTGTTGAGCCTTGTTTTCAAACTCAAAGTTGAAAAAGAAATGAGAAATGAAATGTAACATTGACTTAATGTCATGAAATCGAAATGTGATATATGTAGATGTATCTGTGTTGACCATCTATCAACTGCTAATCTTTTAATCATTGTTCATGGCTGGTTTAGTGTATTTCTACTGGGCTGTGGCTCACCCTTTATGGGACATCATTTTCAGGTACAGGTAGCGTGCCACCTCCAAAGACATAGCTTGGGAGGCTAGAGGCAGACTGACTGCTTGTTATTTGCCTTTTTTTTGATGTATTACATGTAAATTCAAGCCAAGGGCTTAATATGTATTGAGGTAGCACTCTTCTTTTTGTAACCAAGTGTTAACTTGGAAAGCTGTAAGCCCGTAGGGCATTTGCTTTTGTTGTTAACATGTAATACTTTTGTAAGAACTATTTTGATTTAATGGAAAGGTGGTTGGTTTCTTTGTATCAATGCATGCCTAGTGAGATGGGTTTTATTTATTATTTTGAGGGCGTTACAGAGTATCTCTTGCCCATGTAATCAATTCACAGATAATTTATTCGATAAGTTTTCATTTACTAGAGGGAAGAGATTGGAATTTGAGAGATCTAAACAACATTTAATTAGATAAGTGAGATCTAAATTACATTGGAACTTGGAAGTCAGCATTTAGACAATTGAAATGTTGAAAGATACATGTAAATTTCCAACTACTCAATGAAAGCCACAAAAATAACAAATCTGGGATGCAGAGGCGAGGTGATAAGGATGCAATCTGTTAAACCAGCCCAATAGAAACACGTGTATAGCGGCGTTTAGGTCGGTTCGGTTTCTGTCTGTTGTTTAGTTTGAAAACCATTGACCAACTATGAAATTGAAATTTTGTAAATTTGTAAACTGTAGGCAACCGAAAGTTGGTTGATATTGTCTCTTTTTCCACGGTTGTCAGCAATATTTGACCCATATCTAGCTTGTAATTTTAGGCATATGAGAGGAAGAACCACCTTTGAATTGTCCCAAAATAGGCCTCATTTGGTTCGAAAAAATGATTCCACGATGTCCAGGGATTGGACTAGGGCTAAAGCCTTTGAGGCTTAACTTAGGCCTAATCACCTCTAATTCCACAAAATAATTGGTCTTCTTGAAGTGACACAAATCATGGGCACTAACTCTTAAAGTCCCCTAGCCAGACCCTTCCCCATTCTCAATGGGGTTTGGTCGGGTGATTCGGTTATTCGAACACTCGACCAAAATCTGTACGAGCCACCTCTTGAAATCGCATGCCCTGCATTCTATGAAGCATGGGTACTCCAAAAATATTGCCATACAAATACCAGGTACTTACTGGGTGCAGGCACGCATACCTGGTACGCCAAAAACTCACCGGGTACGTTTTATACGATCAGTATAATGATGGGTACGTGATGGGTACGCCACAAGTACGTTTTTGGGTACTTCGAGGTACAAAACAAGATTTTTTACAAATTAAAGGGTACCGGAGCAAGTTTTTTGGTCTATTTAAAAAAATTATATAAATTTGGGGTAGTTTTGTAATAAACAAAACATGAAACAAATTAAAATTAGGATTCTACTCTATTCGATTGTCTCTCTTTTTCTTGAAACACTGAGAGACTCCCAAGAGCTGAAGAACTCCTTCTTGCGAAGCTATTGAAGAGGTTTAATCAAAGGTGCTAATCGATTCTCTCCTTCAAAGATCACATTCCGGTAAGTTCATCTTCGATTCTTCCTCCTCTTCTTCTTCGATTCTTCTTCCTTTTCTTTGTTCTGTCCAGATTTTTTTTCTTTGTTCTGTCCATCTTCGATTCTTCCACTCCTTTCATTTTTTTTCTTCCAGATTTCCGTTCTGTCCAGATTTCTGTTTCCTCTTTTTTCATTTTTTTTTTCCAGATTTTTGTACTCATCCTTGGCAGCAAACGACCCCCTCCACTCTAATGAAAAGTCCTCTTCTCGTCAGGTACTCCCTCTTTTCCCTCCGTTTCTAGGGTTTTGAATGCTGTTCTATTTTTGCATGCCCTTTCTTTTGAATCTCAATCTTTTTTTCTTTTTTTTCTTTTTTTTTTTTTTTTGAATGCGTATATTAATATATTCAGTTGGTTTTTTAGACTGTTTGTTGGAATGAGAGGTTTGTTCTGTTGTAATGGTTGTTAAGCTGTTTCTTTGTTTTAGGCTCTGTTTGATTAGAAAGAAAATTTGTTTGAATGTGAAAGGAAAGGAAGGAAAGGAAAATATATTTTCTTATAAACATTTTATTAGGATGAAATTTTTGCAGGAAAAAGATAGAGAATTGTTTTTTATAATTTTAACTATAGGTAACCCCTTGCATTGCATGGACAAATTTTATTATTATTATTATTATAATTGTTTTTTTTTTTGTGCAAGAAATTAAAAACTCAATTACCATTGCTAATATGTGTTGTATAGAAAAAACTAATTTTGTTGTTGTTCCCTACTCTTTCATGCTAAACAAACTTACCAGAACAAATTGGTTTTTGAATCAATGTGAACAACTTGTGCTGAGTTATATTAAAATTTAATTAAGCTGATGGGTGTAGTGTAATAAAACGTTTTTGTTTATAATGTCTTTTCTTTGATATACTTATAAAAAAAAAAGGGGGAATTACATCCATATTTTTTATTACACAAATATGGAGGGTGCCCCCCACAGCATTTCACATGTTATCAAAAAAAACTGAAAACAAATTTTCTTTTTTCATTTTTTTTTTCTAGATTTTTGTACTCCTTTTTTTTGATGTTCCTCTTTTTTTGTAATTTCTCTTTTTAATTATGTTATTGAATTCAATTTGTATGTTGGATGTTTAGCTATGAATTTAAAATTTAAAAAAAAAATAAAAAATTGGAATAACCCACCCGTACCCTACTTTTTTTAAAATTTGCCGTATCGGGGTACCCGTATCGTACCCGTATCCATACCCGCACCCGTGTTTCTTAGCCTGCATTTTTATGTGATTTTCACTTCGGTGACCCTTGTTCTGTTTTGTCCGTGGATATGGTTATATGTTAGGTATAATATCGTATTTATATGTATTTTAAATAAATTTCTGTTATCATAGACGAACACGAGTAACTTATTTGTTTGATGAAAACATATTTATATTTGATCATTTTGGCCTATATGCCTATCTATGGAGATTTTCTAACTCTTATGATCTTGGTATAATACTACTCACTTTGCAGTATGCTCATAGTCAGATGAAAATTAGTTGCACTAATCACCAATTCATATATATTCAAAAATTAAAAACCAAATGTTAAGTACAGTACAACTAGAATTAAACATTAAGAAGATAGGCGAAGAAACCGATAAACCGTTAAACGTGAAACTATTGAATTGTCTCAAACTAGCACCTAGAAAGACGATGTGCAAAAATTAACAGGATAGCAAATATTAAACTTATTAAATGCGAAACTATTGAAACCTGCTATCTGCGGTTTAAGCCTAAAGTAAGTCGCCTCAGCCAAATTATTCTTACCATAACAGTCTCTCACTTTCTCAAAAGCACGGTGAATTGTTGCAGTAGTGTTCGAGGTTAGTTGTAGCATCCAATCTTGCAAAAAAATTCTTAGCCTGTATCCGTCTCTAGGGATGTAATCAAACATGTAATTGTTGAATTCTTTAGGATGTAATTTCCTATAGGTAAAAAGAGAAAAAAAAAATCATTTGAACGCCTTTGATAATGTGAATATTCACATTGACATAATGTGAATATTCACATTGACCCGTTGATAATGTGAATATTCACATTGACATAAATAAAGCAATAATTCATATATGTAGAGATCGTAATATTGCACTGGTAATTCACCGCCTTTAATTGGATTGTTTGGTTAAACTTATTTCAAACAGTTTTCGATTCTAACAACTTATTTTAACTCAAAAAGCTGATTCTGAGAAGCTGCTCACCCCTTGCTTCTGATTATCAGCTTCTGTTGTGGAAATGTTAATTTACGGTTATACTCTTAAATTTTTTTATTTTTTTAATTTTTAAAAAAATAAAAAAAGACCCAAATGGGTTATAGATTATTATTATTATTTTTTTATGAGAAATGTAGACAAGTAGTGAATAACAAAAAATAAAAATTAATTGAAAAAGCTACTTCACAGCTTATTTAACAAACACTACTCAGCAACTTAAATCTATAATCCAATAGCAACACCAAATAGATTAATAGCTTCTGATTAAAGTTATAATCTATAATATGTTAAGCTATAATCTATAATCTGTTTTAATAGCTACACCAAATGGGCCAATAACTTTAACAATGAATAAGTTATCCAATTGTATTAATATCTACGTGAACCCATATTGTCGAGCTAGAAGGAGGCTATATTCAACAACTTTTAGCTCAGCTTCGTATTTGTTGCATACTACTCTGAGCCGCATAGCTTTAATCGTACCCAAATGATATTGGAAAACGACTCAGCTGAAGCATAAATAGTCCCATCTGTCTTAATGAATTATATGTCTGAGTTGATTTTAATCCAATCCATGGAAGGTGGAATCCAAATAACCCTACCAATTGGTTGTTCTAAGAGCCTAATTTTTTGAATTTTAATACTCCTTGAAATGGCCGTACTCATGCGGACCCAAATTCGAAAATCTGTAAATGGGCTGTGTCAATTTCGATTTTAATCTGAATAAATTACGGAGGTGGGGTAAATGCCTTTGTTCGAATTGGGTTCTCAAGCTAATCTCAAATGTGGTTGACGTACAATAATCCCTATTTCTAACTAAAAACTAATTACAGGTATTATACAAAAAGGTTTCATTTTGAAACCTACAAAATTAAAAAAAATAATACTTACAAGTTTCAAGAAGATATATATAATAACACTTATTATTATATGAATGCTCACTTATTGGATCATCCCTCTTGAATAACATGAATCTGTTAAATCAGTTAATAAGTGAATGTATATATCTTCTTAAAAATTGAAAGTAGTATTATATTAATTCTGTAGTTTTCAAAATGGTTCTTTTCCGTATAAGACCTGTGATTAGTTTTTAAGTTAGAAATATGGATTATTGTATATTGATCCCGTTTGAGATTAGTTTGAGAACTCAATTCGAAGAAAAACTTTTACCACATCTTATTATAATCGAAATTGAAAAGACCCATATACATTTTCGTGAAGGAGTATATGGACATGTTTTTGAAATTGGGTCTGCATCAGCATGGTTATTTCGAGGAATTTATTAAAGTTTAGACAATTAGTGTGTCTAGTATAATTAATATTCTACACATGGAACAACCAATTGGTAGACTTATTTGGGTTCCTCCTCCCATGGATTGGAATAAAATCAACTCAGATGTATCATTTATTTGGACAGGTGGGATTGTTTATGGTTCAGCGAGGTTGTTTTCCGAAATCATTTGGGTACGATTAAAGCTATATATGTTATACGGCTTAGAAGTGTATGCAATAGCAACAGAGCTGAGTAAAAGCTGCCGAATGTAGCCTCCTTCTAGCTCGACAATATGGGTTCACGTAGATATTGATACAATTGAATGACTTATTCATTATTAAAGCTATCAAAGGCGGCAAACTAGCTGTGGAATATTACGATCTCTGTATGTATGAATTATTTCTTTATATATTTTTATTTAAAAGTCCGGCAAATAAATTTTTTTCTTTGTACTAATGCATTTGTGTACCTATAAGAGATTACCCCTTAAAGAGTTCAAGAATTAGATGCTTGATTACATCTTAGAGATGAAAACTAGGCAGTGATTTTTTTGGCAATTAGAGCTAGAGATTATCTATTAACTGATAGTTGGTTGCAATTGTCTCTTTTTCCAAGGTATCAACAACATTTGACCCATATCTGGCTTGTAATATTAGGCATATGAGAGGAAGAACCACCTTTGGATTGTCCCAAAATAGGTCTCATTTGGTCCGAAGAAATGATTCCACGAGGTCCAGGTATTGGACCGGGCCCAAAGCCTTTGAGGCTTAACTTTGGCCTAATCACCTCTAATTCCACAAAATAATTGGTCCTCTTGGAGTGACACAAATCATGGCCACTAACTCCTAAAGTCCCCTAGCCAGTCCCCTCCCCGTCCACAATGGGGTTTGGTTGGGTGATTTGGATGTTCGAACACCCGACCAAAATCCGTACAAGCCACCTCTTGAAATCACGTCCCCTATATTGTTATATGATTGTCACTCCAATGACTCTTGTTCTGTTTTATGTTAGGTATAATATCGTATTTATATGTATTTTAAAATGAATTTCTGTTATCATTTCTCACTCTAAACCCTCTTTTCTCCTCCTCTCTAGAAATCCTCACCAAAACACTAAAACACCTTGATTCTTGAAATCTTTAGGTCTAGATCATCATCATTTCTCATAAATTTTGAAGATCCAAGTTGTGGCTCCTCTTGGTGTTGTGGAAAGTTGAAGACTCTTCCATCAAAGCTAGGGTTTCCCTCTCATTATCATTAAGTCTTGAGGTAGGGATTTCTTGAGTCATATATACATGTTTTGCTACATAAAATGTTGATTTTAAAAGTTTCCGTGAGGTTGTTGTGTTGATGTTAATTTTGCACTAAATGAAGAGAGAGAAAGGGAGTTTTGAAAGATGGGTTTAAATCTCAACTTTTCTTCTGTCCATAAGTATGTTCTTTCTATAAAACTCAAGAAGGATAATTTTGGTAGGATTACTTCAAGTAAATGGTGAGATGTTGGTTTTTGAATGAAAACCCTAGAAGTTGGGGATTTTTGGAAAACATGGAAATGCCCATGGAATTCTTTCTTTTCTTTGATAAAAAGATGAATGTGGGTGAATCCCATAATGTGATTGCAAAAATGGAAAGCTTTTGACTTATGGCAATGGAGAACTTGTTTAGAAACTATAGTTAAAGCTATGGTGATAAATGGTTATAAGATGACAATTGTGTGTGCATTATGAAATTGTGAGAATTGTAAACGTGGTAAATTAATGTTAGAAAAACATTGCTTGTGGTTATGTAGAGATTAGATTGTTGAGACTTGTGAATGTAGAATGGTAATTATGCGTTGATGACACATAGTCTTCTTGTGAAAGAATAATGAAGAAAGGAAATAGAAATTGTGATTGTTGGCATTATTGTGAAGACATTTAAAATTAGAGAAGTGTTATGAGATATGGAAAGGTCATGGCATTGCATATTCATACAATTATTATTTTGCATTGTAAATTTCGATTGAAGATATTTATTTCATGAAAGAAGATGATAAATAAGAACCATGGAAATGTGGCATGGTGTAAATACGTGATAAGTCCGGATAGGGGGTGTAGTTAATCTTGATAAGTTGGCCTGAGTGTCCATGGTGAAAGTCTAGAAAACGGCGCGGGTAGGTGTCGCGCCTTCCGGTTAATACCGGTAAAAATGATAGTTTGGTAGAACTTGTAGAGTCTACTTGCAGACATTAGCCTAGGGATTACTAGTGTCGTATTTACCTCCCTCATTGATTAAAATTGGAAGTTTCGAAATGTGTTGAGGTTGCAAGCTTTTATTGAAAAACGGAAATCTTTGAGAAGAGCATGAAATGAAATTTTCTTTAAAAAAAGGGTATTGTATGGCATTGGCATTTGCATTCACATTGAGAATTGCATAACTGTATAAACTTTGTGAGAATTTTCTACTGGGCTTTATGCTCACCTCTAGAGGACTTTGGTGCACGTAAAGATGTGGTGATCCCGCCGAATTGAGAGCGTGGATATTTTTGTGAAGAATAAATAGTTCTCTTATTTTTGTTGTGAATTTTGTAAAGCCAAGGGCTAAACGTGTATGGGTCCGAGAGACCATTTTGTGTAACCGGACTATTGCCTTGGAAGATGTAAGCCCTTAAGGGCATTTTATTGTTTTGAGACTAGATGCTTCACATGCTATAGATTCATGTGTTCTTTTGTTTGTTAAATGTATACCGCATGTGGAACCTTTGTACTAAACTCATTGATTAAATATGTGAAGATGGAACCATTATTGTCATTATTTAGTGAATGTTTAATAATGTGGGTAGTTCATGTTGAATTATTTTCGGGGCGTTACAAGTTATCTAATTGTATTAATATCTACGTGAACCCATATTGTTGAGCTAGAAGGAAGCTACATTCGGCCGCTTTTAGCTCAGCTTGTATTTGTCTCATACAACTCTGAGCCGTATAGCTTTTATAGCTTTAATCGTACCCAAATGATCTCGTAAAACAACCCCGCTGAAGCATAAATAGTCCCATCTGTCTTAATGAATGATATATCTGAATTGATTTTGATCCAATCCATGGAAGGAGGAATTTGAATAACCCTACCAATTGGATATTCTAAGAGCAAAGTATTAATCATATTCGAAACCCTAATTTTTTGAATTTTAATAAACTCCTCGAAATGGCCATACTCTTGCGGACCCAAATTCGAAAATATGTCCATATACATGTATACGGAAATGTATATGGGCTGTGTCAATTTCGATTGTAATCCGTATAAAGTACGGAGGTGGGGTAAATGCTTTTTCTTCGAATTGGGTTCTCAAACTAATCTCATATGAGGGTTGACATACAATAATCCCTATTTCTAACTAAAAAACTAATCACAGGTCTTATACAAAAAGGTTGCATTTTGAAACCTACAAAATTAAAAAAATAATACTAACAATTTTCAAGAAGATATATACATAACAATGACAATAACCCTTTTTATTATATGCATACACCTCCTCACTTATTGGATCATCCCTCTTGAATGACATGAATCAGTTGAATCAGTTAGCAAGTGAAGAGGAGTATTCTTATAATGATAGTTATTATGTTTATTATGTATATATCTTCTTAAAAATTGATGTTAGTATTTAATTAATTTTGAAGGTTTCAAAGCGGGTTTTTTTTTGTATAAGACTTCTGATTAGGTTTTTGGTTAGAAATATGGATTGTTGTATATCAATCCCGTTTGAGATTAGTTTAAGAAACCAATTCCGAAAAAAAAAGAATTTACCACATATTCGTATTTTATACGGATTATAATCGAAATTCAAAAGACCCATACACATTTCCGTGAAGGAGTATATGGACATATTTTTGAAATTGGGTCCTCATCAGTATGGCTATTTCGAGGAATTTATTAAAGTTCAAAAATTAGTGTGTAAGTCTGATTAATATTCTATAGTTAGAACAACCAATTGGTAGGCTTACTTGGGTTCCTCCTCTCATGGATTGAAATGAAATTAACTTAGATGCATCATTCATTAGGACAGGTGGGGCTGTTTATGGTTCAGCGGGGTTGTTTTCCGAGATCATTTGGGTACGATTAAAAGTATACATGTTATATGGTTCAGAGGTGTACGCGACAGCTACGAAGCTGAGTTAAAAGCTGCCAAATGTAGCCTCCTTCTAGCTCAACAATATGGGTTCATAGATATTAATACAATTAGATGACTCTTTCATTATTAAAGTTATCAAAGGCGACAAATTACCCGTGCAATATTACGATCTCTACATGTATGAATTATTTCGTTATATATTTTTATTTAGAAGTCTTGCAAAGAAATTTTTTTTTTTGCACTAAAGCATTTTTGTACCTGTAGGAGATTACCCCTTAAAGAGTTTAAGAATTCGAAGTTTGATTACATCGTAGAGAGAAAAACTAGGCTGTGAATTTTTTAGCTATGAGAGCTACAGATTGGATGCTAGAACCAACGTCGATAAGTACTGCAGCAATTCGCCGTGTTTTGAGGAAGTAAAGAGACTATTATGGCAAAAATGATTTGGTCGAGACTATTTATTTTAGGCTTAAAGCGCATATAGCAGGTTTCAATAGTTTCACATTTAATAAGTCTAGTATTTGTTTTCCTGTTAATTTTTGCACGCTGTCTTTCTTGTTGTTAGTTTGGGACAATTCAATAGTTTCACATTTAACGTTTTATCGGTTTTTCGCCTATCTTCTTGATGTTTAATTCTAGTTTGTACTTATCTTAACTTTTTTGGTATTTTAATTTTTGAATATATATGAACTGGTGATTAGTGTAACAAATTCTGATCTGACTATAAGCATATTGCAGAGTGAGAAGTATTATATCGAGAGCATAAGGGGTAGAAAATCTCCATGGATAGGAATTGAGTCCAAAATGATCAAACATGAATATGTTTTCATCAAACAAAAAAAGTTACTCATGTTCGTCTCTGATAACAAAAATTCATTTTAACATACATATTAATATGATATATCTATTAACGTATAACCCTATCCATGGGAAAAAATTCAAGTTACTTATGTCATTGAATGGCTAGTTAACTCTTGGGAGTACCCTTTTTCTGTACAGGTTCATTTCCTATGATTCCCCTAGCAAGTACATAGAGACTCAATTAGGTGATTTATTGAGTTCTAATTGAAACTTACTTTTGCTTTCTAAGTAATTATAAAGAACCAAAAATGGTTTGCGAGTTTCTGACATGTTTTCTTACAGAAGATACGTTGTCTTAGTCATGGAGTCCTAGCATGCCCATGCTGCAACAAACAAATGTGTTCCCCCCCCCCAAAAGGTTAGAAAATATTTGTTACGTTTTTTACTGTTATTTTTATTGTTTCGTGTTGCTGGGTGTTTTGTTACTTGGATGCTTTGTGCCATAACAGCTAGCTTTTTTCGCCTTCTAATTTTCCTTGTAAGGCCTGTAGTGGGAAGACAGAGAAAGAGAAGCGTGAAGTAACAAAATAAGTTAATGACCTACAATGTAGGACAAGATGAGGTTAACTGCTTCTACTAGTAGTGAACCCAAGACTAATAAATGGCAACTGAAAAATAGGCTTTGGGTGGGTGACATTGGTTTTTGAAGGGTGGATTGGTGGTAAATTATGGGGATTGAAGGGTTCAAAAAATTGCAACAAAAGGTAGTGATTTGAGATTGAAGACAAAATTTTGGGGTTGTTCTTACACCCTTCAATTCTTTATCTCAAATTTCCTTTTTTTGATAATTAAACAATTTTATAAACCGGGACCCCACGGGAATGCTTCTTGTGTATGAAAAGATGCCACAGCCAAAAGGCACTTTACATGCTCTTGCATATCCAAAAGCTCTACAAATTCTTGGTCTAGACCTATGGTGTACATGTTCTTGGTTATGGGTGTCAGTTGTGGGCACGGGTCCAGTCTTTGGTCTTGAAAAGCTTCTAGGGTTATTGTTGTAAGAGGTAAAAGAAAGATTTGTGTTTGTGAAGAGGGTGAAATTGAATTGATTTCTATAACTTGCAGATTGCATCATTTCTGAGATAGTGCAATCAAAGGGACTGGATAACACTGATTTGTGGATTTTAAGATTAAATTAGTAGCTAATAGGTATGGGAATAGGTTGGGGATGGTTTGTACTTGATAAGCTAGGGTTTAGCAGCTGAAAGGGTACTTTTAAGGGTCGTGAACAGTAAAACGCAAAGATGAAGAGATAGGAGAAGGAAAGTGGCACTTCACCCTCATAACGGTCATGAAAATTTATATAAAATCCAATTTAGTTTCTCGCAAGAAGTGTTCAATTGCAAGTGTGAGACGCATCTCAAACCCTAATCCAAGTGTGAAGTGTCCGAAACAGATATTTGATATATTTTTAAGAGTCCATGTAACATTGGCCATCAGATCCCAAATATACAAAATACTAGAAATAAGGTACATCAATATACCGGGCAAAGACAAGAAATATTCGGTACTATCCAATTGTCTTATGTTTCCTATCCTGCTAACTAAATAAGCCACATCAAAGCCAAGATGGATAATAATGCAATTATTAATCTTCCCCACCCTTTTCCCGCTTCAATAACCAAGGCATTAGAGTTGCCAGCAAAACCCAAGCCACACTAAACCAAGAGAGGGCCAAAGTTTAAAGCTCCTTAGCCACCCTCTTGCACATGTAATCAATTCACAAAGAATTTATTAGATAAGTTTTCATCTACTAGAGAGAAGAGATTGGGATTTGAGAGATCTAAACAACATTTAATTAGATAAGTGAGATCTAAATTACGTTGAAACTTGGAAGTCAGCATTTAGACAATTGAAATATTGAAAGATAAATGTAAATATCCAACTACTCAATCAATGCCACAAAAATAACAAATCTGGGATGCAGAGACGAGGTGATAAGGATGCAATCTGTTAAAGCAGTCTAATAGAAACACGTGTATAACTGCGTTTAGGTCGGTTCGATTTCCGCTTGTTTAGTTTTAAAACCATTGACCAACTATGAAATTGAAATTCTGTAAATTTGTAAACTGCAGCCAACCGAAAGTTGGTTGCAATTGTCTCTTTTCCCAAGGTTATCAACAACATTTGACTGATATTTGGCTTGTAATTTTAGGCATATGAGAGGAAAGACCACCTTTGGACTGTCCCAAAATAGGTCTCATTTGACAACAAGGTATACCACCACCAACATCACGGAACCGAGTCCGGAATACAACAGAACAGTAAAGGGACAACCGGGATCGCTATAAAAACCTTTGAGGCTTAACTTAGTCCTAATCACCTCTAATTCCACAAAATAATTGGTCTTCTTGGAGTGACACAAATCATGGGCACTAACTCCTAAAGTCCCCTCGCCAAGCCCCTCCTAGTTCACAATGTGGTTTGGTCGAGTGATTCGGTTGTTACAAGCCACCTCTTGAAATCGCATCCCCTATATTGTTATATGATTGTCACTCTGGTGACTCTTGTTCTGTTTTGTCCGTGGATATGGTTATATGTTAGGTATGATATGGTATTTATGTGTATTTTAAAATGAATTTCTGTTATCATAGATGAACATGAGTAACTTACTTGTTTGATGAAACCATATTTATATTTGATCATTTTGGCCTAAATTCCTATTTGTGGAGATTTTCTAACTCTTATGCTTTCGGTATAATACTACTTACTCTGCAGTATGCTCATAGTCAGATCAAAATTAGCTGCACTAATCACCAATCCATATATATTCAAAAATTAAAAAAATCAAAAGTTAAGATAAATACAAACTAGAGTAAAACATCAAGAAGATAGGCAAAGATGACGATAAACCGTTAAACGTGAAACTATTGAATTGTCTCAAACTTGCACCTAGAAAGACGACGTGCAAAAATTAACAGGATAACAAATATTAGACTTATTAAATGTGAAACTATTGAAAGTTGCTATCTGCGCTTTAAGCCTAAAGTAAGTCGTCTCAGACAAATCATTTTTGCTATAACAGTCTCTCACTTTCTCAAAAGCACGGTGAATTGCCTTAATAGTCTTCGAGGTTAGTTCTAGCATCCAATCACTGGCTCTCGTAGCCGAAAAATTCACAGCTTGGTATCCCTCCCTAGGGATGTAATCAAACATGTAATTGTTGAACTCTTTAGGAGTTAATTTAATGTAGGTACAAAAATGCATTAGTGTAAAGAAAAAAAAAAAAATCATTTGAACGATTTATAAGTAATAATAAATAAAGCAATAATTCATATATGTTGAGATCGTAATATTCTACCGGTAATTTGCCATCTTTAATAGCTTTAACAATGAATGAGTTATCCAATTGTATTAATATCTACGTGAACCCATATTGTCGAGCTAGAAGGAGGTTACATTCGGTAGCTTTTAGCTTAGCTTCGTATCTGTCTCGTACAAGTCTGAGCCGTATAGCTTGTATAGCTTTAATTGTACCCAATTGATCTCAAAAAACAATCCCGCTGAAGCATAAACAGTCCCATCATTCTTAATGAATGATATATCTGAGTTGATTTTAATCCAATCCATGGAATGAGGAATCCGAATAACCCTCCCAATTGGTTATTCTAAGAGCTGAGTATTATTCATAGTCGAAACCCTAATTTTTTGAATTTTAATAAACTCCTCAAAATGGCCATACTCTTGCGGACCCAAATTCGAAAATATGTCCATATATACTTATATACGGAAATGTATATGGGCGATGTCAATTTCGATTGTAATTCGTATAAAGTATGGAGGTGGGGTAAATGTTTTTTTCTTCGAATTGGGTTTTCAAACTAATCTCAAATGGGGTTGACAAATAATAATCTCTATTTCTAACTGAAAAACTAATCACATGTCTCATACAAAAAGGTTTTATTTTGAAGCCTACAAAATTAAAAAAATAATGCTAACAATTTTCAAAAAGATACCTACATAACAAAGACAATAACACTTTATTATATGAATACATCTCCTCACTTACTGGATCGTCCCTCTTGAATGACATGAATCAGTTAAATCAGTTAGTAAGTGAAGAGGAGTTTTCATATAATGATAGCTATTATCTTTGTTATGTATATATCTTCTTAAAATTTGATTAGCAGTATTTTATTAATTCTGCCGGTTTCAAAATGGTTCTTTTTTGTATAAGACCCGTGATTAGTTTTTTAGTTAGAAATATGGATGGTTTTATATCAATCCCATTTGAGATTAGTTTGATAACCCAATTCGAAGAAAAATATTTACAACATCTTTGTACTTTATGCGATTATAAACGAAATTGAAAAGACCATATACATTTCCGTGAAAGAGTATATGGACATATTTGTGAAATTGGGTCCACATTGGTATGGCTATTTCGAGGAATTTATTAAAGTTTAGACAATTAATTTGTCGAGTATGATTAATTTTCTACACTTGGAACAACCACTAAAATTGGCGACTAAAACAAATTTAGTCGCCAAAAGTTTTGGAATTGGTGACTAAAACTTTTTTTTGGTCGCCAAAAGTATAATATTTAGCTACTAAATTTTTTTAGTCGGGATATATTAATTATTGGCGACTAAAAAATAATTTAGTCGCTAAACAGACACAGACTCACGCTCGAGCGTGAAAAGAGCCGCTCGAGCGTCGATTGCACACTTCCAGAAGTTTTGCAGACGAAGAGATCAAAATTATAAGATTGACCAAATATTAAATGTTCATACATAAAAAAATAAAAATGAATATTTTAAGTTAGTTTGATTAAATAAATTAACTTTTATTCTTTCATATATATAAAATTTAAAAAACACATTAAGTTTGTTTAACTTTGTATACTATGAACATGACTATTTGATGAATTTGTTAATTTTTTTTACAGATTTCTATACCCACCAATATAGCATTGTTCAAACTGATTGTGTTGTTGATTATAAAAGTGAATTTGTTACTAAGAGGTATGCTCATGTTCAAGATCAACACAGTGAACATGAAGGTTGAATGGCGGTCTGAAAGATGAGACAAGACACGACAAGAGTTCAACCAACTATGGAGGTCAACATCGATGAAGATGGAGGTCGAATGAAACCTCTATCGGCAATGGAAATCAAGACCGACAAAGATGGTTTTTGTTTTGAAAATTGTGGGGGTTTTCCTGTTGTGCGTAATGGTAAAGATGAAGAGTTTTTATTGTGTATATTGTGTGTTATTCAAATAGTTAGTGGTCTGTTAATGTAGGGTTAGTAATGAAAAGTTAATGCATGAACTAAGATATTTTTAAACCCTAAAAATTATTTTGTGTGTGTACTAAGTAATGGTGTGTATTGAAAGTATTAGTGGTGTGTAAATAGAAT